AGGGAAAAATTATTTAATGTGGAGTTACAAGAGAAGTTTCATATATGTGGTACTTAAATTGCATGGGTTAGACTAAAAACATGACGTAAATTTCAGAATGAACAATCAAACTGCCGATAAAAGTGGGTAAATGTAACGAAAGAAAGGATATCCACCTGGCATTCGAGGGTGGATCCCATTGCAGCACCCAATTTATTCCAGGTACGTCGATCCCTCGTGCCATCACATCTGTGCAAAGCAGAACACCCCTGAAACAGAACAGACGTTAGGATTCGCCGTCCGCCGGCATTCCACACGTAACCCTCCGAGTTTCTGCTTGAGGTATAGCAACAAATTAACTCTTGAGACCTTAAAACTAAGTACGTTTAAGAGGCTTTGCCAACATACTTCTTGGTGGAGCGGAATTTTTCGAATTCAGCGACCCTTTTTGACCTCATTTTGCGGTGGAGGACGTGAACGAGGGAAGCCTGGTTGGGAGGTAGGAGGCCGTTGCGAAGAAGGCGACCGAAATAGTCGACAGCTGCACAAGAAGCGAAGAAGACAATGATCTTCTCTGTGGATAAGTGGCTTCGAAGAAAGGTGATGAGGGCGCAAAGCTTGTCAGCAGGGTCAACAACCTATTCAAGAGATGTGCTAGAAATTCAATCTCTAAAAAGGAGGCTTGTAGGCCTATGATAACCTGTGTCAACGATGGTCAAATGAGACGATTCAAGACAACGAAATACGATAAGAACTCATTCTGGGTCTACTCAGTTATCTGCTTACCGGTCTATTCATCTGGAGTCCATTTCTGGCGCACACGTTCATTCTGGATCCTGAGGAAATTCAAACCTTGCTTATACAGGCGCCATCCATTTACCCAAACACCTTTCTTCATTGTATCAATTCTTCAGTCCACCTTATCGCCTTAACATTGCCCAATCCTAACCTCTGTCACGAGGAAACAAATCTCCTCTTCCAACAATGTGAAGAGAAACTCCATTAAGACATGCATGAGGTGTGTACTGGTGTGAAGCGACTGTTGAATGCTCATCATGCTAGTTCGTTTATCAATGAATGATATGTGCGTAATTTCAAGGCACGCATCTCTACAACCATTGCTGAGAACTTTTATCAGCAACAACAACAAAGTACGAGTTGATAACTGCGGTAAAGGCATCAAGCCTACTTCTTTACGATCTAACGTTTGGCTCCGATCTCAGCTCGTAAGTAGGCAAATCCAGCTGGTTCATTAAATCCATAGGATATGTTAATAGATAGGCCGCTATGACAATGACCGACAATCAACAATTCAACTAATCGTCAGTAATCGGAGACGCAGCTATTCAGCAGCTTTACCAAAAATCACAAGCCAGCATAAACGAGGATGTCTCAGGAGAAAGCGCCAAAGTATTGACTCACCAAGAAGTAGTTTTCCAAAGTTAATGGAGTTCTTTGTTGGTGCGTTGTTGAGAGTTCCTCCTTCTCTCTCACCACAATACTGACTGGATTTCTTAGTCCAGCCCGCAACAAATCATCCAAACGGTTCGTCTGTGTGGCGGAAAACAGACCCGTCCGCCGCTGCTTTGGTAACATACCAAGTATTGAGTTCAATCTAGAGAGTGGGACACTTGAAAAGCGATCCTTACTGTGACTCAAATCCCATGTCTAGTAAGCGATCGGCCTCATCCAGTATCAGAATCTCCTGAAAGCATTAAAAGAATCAAGTGAAATCTGTCTTACCAAGCTGCGAAGTCCCCGAACAATAGGATTAAAGGTCTGGTTGTTGGACTCTTGGCCCAAGAAGAGAGGCGCTTTCTGAACAAGATCGACTAAGCGACCAGGAGTAGCGACGATGATAGTTGCCCCAGTGGCTTGAAAACGCTGAAGATCCTCCAGACGCTTAGCATGAGCAGCGCCACCACTCAGAACAAGAGAAGTGAAGCGAGGAGATCTACGACAACCAAAAATTCCAACAATAAACCATAAAAGCAAAACAAAATTGTGAAAATCCTGAAAAGTCACATCCATTACACTACTTTCTGCACTTATGTCAAACCGGTAAATCCTAAGGGATTGAAAGTACACTAAGTTTTCAGCCAAATCCCCTGATAACTACATTCCGTGACCTCGAGAAGCGTCAATACCTCAAACCTGGTCAATACAGGTGAAACGCCTTAGGTCAACCAGAGTGAGTCAGGTGGTCTCCTCGTGTGTAATATCACTGACAGGCAATGCAGCAATTGGACAACTTCCAAGCTTATTTCTCACACCGTTGGAACTATCAATACTAGGTCCGCCACTGGTGTCTTTGGAATGTTAATGTCATCAGACCAAATTTAATACTGGGGATTAACACCTTAGCACCCTCTCCCCAAGTGACATTTTTCGCAACCTTGATCACTTACAAGTATCTCCTCCATCAGCACGATTCACTGTCTATCCCGATTGGTGATGCTTAAACTGGTCTCGAGAAATGTGCTTCTTGAAGAAACCACAAAAGTCCATAAAGCCTCAAAATAATCAATAATATTTTCACCTAACATGACAATTAAGTGACATTAATGGATTACGGCATATTGCAATGACAGATGCGGCGATGGGAGACAGTAACAGGCGATCCTATCAATGCTTCACTTCAACAAGGCTACCGTGTTTAAAGTCAAATTCAGCAATTCGCAATCTTACTGAGCAAAACTGAATAAAAGCCGCTATATTGGATTATGTAATAAAATAGCAAGGATGATTGAGAACCCTGAAACCACAGGAGACCACACCGCCAAACATTCACAGGCTGAATAGAAGATCAGAAAATGAAATCATGCAATAAACCTAATTAGATGAATCAAGGTTTTGGGCATCTGAAATTTAGCCGTACTGATCGAAAGCATAGAACATTTATTAAAAGTAAAGAACTGTGAATTCTAAGCAAAAA